ATCCTCCGTAAACCCGATGTCCCTCCGCCGCTCGTCCGGACGAGGGGTATGGGGTGTGAACCCATCGGAGCCCCCGGGGGAAGGCGGTGGGTCGGGGGACGAGGCCACCTGTCTCTGCAAAGAAGGGGAAAGCTCCCGCGGTCTTGTTTCCGGGGCGTTGTTAACTGCTTGGTTCTGGGGAAAAACTCGAAGCGGTATCGGCTCTTCTCGGGAGTCAATTGGTTCGGACGGAGAGGTTTCTGTGGGCCCCCCCGTTCGCTGCCTCCCATAATCCTGCCATAGCCGCTCAGTCGTTCTGGGCCTGGGCATCTGTTCCTGCACTTCTATTCGGATTTCAGGAACGGGAGCGAATTGCTCAGGCGGCTGCACTTCCCCGCGTGTTGGCAGCGGAGAAGAAGCCTGCTCCGAGTCACTTTTGTTGGGACGAGTCGCCAACGGCTGAGTCTGATTCAAGATCAGCGGCTCCTCGTTCACTTCCCCTTTTATTTTCTGTCTTCTGGTGAACTCCCTGAACCTTTGGTACTCTTCCCATTCTTCTTCGAAGCCTGAGGAATTTCCACTGGCGGAGTTTGTTCCTTTGGGGCGAATGAGCCCTCCTCCCGGAATTTCCGGTGGGCTAGGTCCTCTGCGCATCGCCCTTGGGGCTGCCTCGGGGAGCCATCCCTGCAGAGTATACTGTGAATCGGTCTCGCCGGCGAGGCTTCTGCCTCTAGCTCGGTCTCGGAGACCCCTTTCCTGGAAGAAGGGGACTTCTTCCTCTGCTTCTTCCAGCTGCTCCGCGGCGCGGGGCAGACGGTTCCTCTGCGTATTCAGATTCCTTGCATTCATTGTTTGGGGGAACCCTGCTGTCTGCTCCAGGCTCCTTGCCGAGCCAGTCAGGGCTTCCCTTAGCACGTTTCCTCCTGTCTGTTCCTGATTCTCAGGGGCGGAGAGGGCTAGCGCCGCGGTCACGTGCCGTGTTCCGCTCGCTTCGCCAGAGGGGGCCCGCGTCTGGGGCATCTCCCTGTGGCTTTCTTCATTTGTGGGTTCTTCCTGCTGCAAGGCGAGCCTCTGCTCCCCGGCGCGGATACCCGGGCTATCTTCAGGGGCACCATTAGCACCCTGAAGCAAAGTCCCTCTGCGAGTTCTGATTCCAATCAGACTTTCGCTCATGTCCGGCACTCCCTCGTGCGGGGTCATGTTCTCCGTAACTTGCGGAGCCAGCCTCCTGCTGCTCAGCTTAGCGATGGTCAGCCCAATTCCGCTCTCAATTCGTAAGACGACGGAGGCACTTCGAGTTGAGTAGTCAGCTCCTTCCTGCAGTCTTGGCCAGGCGTGCACTTGGCGGCACTTCACTCCCGTGAATCAGCTCTTCTTCGTGACCCTCTCTGGGGACTTCACGAAAGGCACTTCAATTCCGGAGCAGCCCTGTCCTGTGACCCTGGAGGCGAGACCTGCAGAGGCAATTCAACACTCACAAACAGCCTTATTCCCGTGATGCAGACGGAGTTTTGCGGAGGCTCGTTCAACCTTTCGATTTTCTGGTGGCTTTCAAGTTTTCCTTCTACCGCAAACTTTCTCTGCGGGAGGGGGCTGGGTGACCCCTTTCTCTTGTCTCTCTCTTCGGGGAGAGTACTTCCAGGTGCACCCTTCCGTTCGAAGGAGCTCTCCAGGAGTTTCAAAGTTCTAATACCAAAAGTAAAATTCACTTGCACAGATAAGAATGTTGTGGTTGCACTCTCCGTTGCAACTTTCCTGTAGCTTCTTTGTAAGGGCTCAGCCTTCTCCGGAGCTTGTAGTGGAGCTCAGGGAGACAAGGGAGCACCTTTCCAGTGGTCTTCTTTCACAAAGGACATGTTCTCCTACTGATACTAAAGAACACCCCCCTCCGGCCACTGCCCACTCTCGGGGTTTAGGTGCCACGTGGCAGGGGCGATCGAGTTTCGGCGCACCAGCGCGCGCAGAGCGACGCGGCCAGCTTAAGGCCTGCGTGCTCGGCGGCGGTAAGTCGTCTACGCAGCGGAATTTGTAAGCGTAGCGTGCCTTTCAGGCCACAGCTCTCCGGAATCTAGTAGCTCTCAGCAAATGCACAAGTGTTCCATACCACTTGCTCTTAGCAGCTTTTAGGCTGCAAGTTCATATGCGAAGCTTTCATTCATCCAATCACTCACACAAGCAATGCGCTTACAAACTTGTGCTCGGGGAGGCACATCTCATGTCGTACCATCATAAGGGTAGTTCCCTGATCATGGCCATGAGCATTCTTCCTGCGGAGACTGTGCGCAGAGACAGAAGTCACGCAACACTCGTGCAATGAGGGGGCAACAATACCTGAGATATCACAAAGCGTCCCAGGTGCCTTAAAGCCACACAGAATGTCTTCGTGCTTACACAGCGCACTAGCCCCTGGGGCTGTGCAGCTGCGGATCCCCTGTTCCTGCTCTGCTAGCGCCTCTGCGCTCTATTCCAAAAGCTAAGAAACCTGAAAACACAAGGAATGAACTAAAGTTTTGCAAAGTTTCTAACTTCTATCGATTCTGGCCGAAGTGTTATGCGGCCTTTCCCCAAGTCTAAAGGACCCTTATTTATGTATGACTGGGTCGCCGGGACTCGTGGAAGGCTCGATCCGGAAGGAGGCCCCGTAGAGAACCTGCACGATAGACCAAGCAAGTCTTAGCGCAGGTTCTCAATGAGATATCGAGTTCCTTTGCCCAGTCACATTACTAATGCGGAGAGCTAACTTCTCTCCCCGCGAGGCCGTTCGACTTGTATCTACTAACGGTCGGATTTCTGCCTATCGATCTACGGTACTCTAATACTAAGTAAGCATCGTGCGGCTCTCCGGAGTCGCACGTGGTCACTAACGACTCCCGGTGCTAAACCCTGAAGGACGGAGACTCCGCATTCAGGAAGTCAAACTTGTACCGCGCCGCGGCTTAGCGCGCACACCTGTCCCTGCAACAGCAAGTGTCTGCATGCCACGTGTCACAATCTTATACGCGCGCAACCGTGGTGGGACTTCCGCAGAGGGCGGGAGTATTCAGAGAGCACACCAACCTTGTGCCAAGGTCGGACCTATGGTCCGCCAATGTCAAATCAAGGATGTTCAATGATCGTACATCATAGATTGTCCAAGATCGACGGCCAATTAGGTTGAGCCGATGCTCCGGGACATATAGACCTATGATAGGATCCGAGATCTACACAAATCATTGTCAATTATCTCGGACGGCCTATGGTCGACCAATTATAGACCTTTTCAAAAGAATTTTCCCGACGTGGTATCTCGAAGTATATTTGACGCTTCGTGGAGGATTTGACAAGCTTGAAACATTATATTTGAACCGTTGAAGATATTCAACAATCCATGCACTTCTACTAAATATGAGACATTAGTGTTCACAATGTTTGCAATAGTCGACAATCTTTTATCGATATCATGTTGAATGTGCCGAACTTCCCAAACATGACCGCACATTATTAGATTTTTGTATTGATCCAACTCGTGCATGATATAAATCTATTTTACTATGTAGATACTTACATCTGATGATTGGACGAGATGCTCACGTATAAACCCAATTGATTTGTATTTGATGACTTTGCCAAATGATTAAGCATATTCAGTACATAGGTACGTACATCAGTAACATGTGCGCCGGAACATTGTGCAAGTTTTCCAACCTTCAAAGATGCTCCATCAAACATCATTAATTGTCTAACTGAGCCTCAAGATGTTAGATCCAACTCAGTAAGGAATACGTAGCTTCATTCGAGTGGTTTGTACAAGCTTCAAACGGCCCTTCAAACCTATCCAAAAAAAACCATTCCTTGTTGAAAAAATCCGGGTTTTGGGGTTCACATTTGGCAGCATTTTCGGGATTTTGTGAGTCGGATATGAGGGACTTTATATTGGAGTCCTGGCCCCCGGGCCCCGGGGCAAATTTTCGGGGTTTGTATCGAGAAAACCAGTGCGTTTTCGGGATTCGAGGGGCTCCACAGCTTCCACCGATTTCTGAGAATTTGCCCGAGGATTGGGCGCGTTTTCGAAGTTTTAGGGTTTCAAGGGTATTAGGGTTGCAAGCCTTTCAATCGTAGCTGTGGTCAAGAGTCAAAATCCCGGGATTATGATCAGGAAACAAGTGGTTTCCGGGGTGTCAAGGTTCACCGGGCTCCACCCGTCGCTCTCAGTTACTGGCAGAAAGTCGGGTTTTATCATTTATGTACGATAATACTTTTCGTGGTTCGTGATTATAACTGTTGGTCACGAACCGATTTTTGAAGCTTTTCGAGCATATTCGGCTAAGAAGCTGTCAGATGAGACGAAATAATCTGTCATATTCTCCACAAAAATGGTCAAAATTGGCCCAGAAAACCAATGTAAAATAAATAAACGGAAGGCCCTGAAAGGCTTTTTCGAAAATATGTTATGTCGGTTTTTCGAAAAAATCTAAAATCCGGGTCGGTCGCGGACCGGAAACCCCGTATCAACTTCGCGTAGCCTAATGGAATTGAGCCTTACCTGAAGGAAGTCCACAGAGTGTACCATTTTTGGAATATCAGGCCGCCATTGATAGTTGGGGTACTTTATCGATCAGAGGGGCGAGTCCGGCCAGTAGGTGTGCCCAGAGGGTAGCACAAGAGGGGATGGGGCGGTGTGGCCGACACGCCTATTATTGTATTATGACAATAGAGCCGAGATGAGTAGGCTAGATGTGGTTTAGCGCAACAGCTGTCATGCTGGATTGTGTCGAGTCGGAAGTTATCTGGCACTAGTTGTTGAGTGGTGACAAACTAGGGTAGGCAGGCTAGGCTGTAGCTCAGTGCACCATGTGAGACAGTAAGAAGAAAGCTAGGCTTCATTCTTTCTTGTATTCAGACAAAACTTTGATATGGGGCGGCAATCTTGAGCCCATGCGGAACTGTACGATGGTTAGAAGTCAGTCTCAACCCAATTACTATGGGTGGCGTGACATGTGAAGTGTGAATAGCGGATGCACATGCGGCTCTGAATTCGGTGGTGCGCTGTGAGCGCAGCTGAGGCAAGCATTACATGGGGCGGTGTGGCCGACACGCCCATTATGACAATAGAGCCGAGATGAGTAGGCTAGATGTGGTTTAGTGCGACAAAGATACATGGCATTTCATGTCACTCATATGCATTATACGCATCATCTGTGATCCCTCCCCCCTACTGGGCGAATGTGTCGAATGTTCCTAGGTTACACCCGCTTTCGTCGGAATATCTGAGTCGAGTCTAGACCCGAAGTCGAGTCGCTACGGTCTAGGGTGTCGCGCGAAGTCTTCACTAGTACGCAGAGTCTACATCTGGCCTATGAAGTCTACCCATCTGTCGAGTCGATGTCGTCATAACCGCCGTGAGCTGGCCGAAATATGTGGCTGCACGCTTGAAATATAATCGTAAAGGCCGCGCGCAACTATCAAGCGCACGCCTGTCAAATGATATGCAGCGTTCTGAAGCTCAGGCTCTGGAAAGATCACCCTAGATTCTAGAGCGGCAGGCTTAAACTAGATGTGGGGAATAAACTAGCTTAGGGCCGAGCCCTTACAGCAACGATATATATCACGGCATGACACCCCCGGTAGAGTTCGCAACCGGCACCTTGGTTGCTAATTTCCACTTCAATATTATAATTTCTTCAACTTCAAATTTACAACTGAGTCAACTCCAATAAAGTTACATTTGCAATCCTCCACAATTGAACGATGCCATACTAGAATGACACGCGGTCATTCAATTTCTCAACAGTCCAGCTAGAGCCTAGAAGGTTGCATTAATTGCATAGTGACAAGAGCCAACCTTTCATTAGCCCTTCGGTTACATGCAAGCGATTGATCACCTTTGTACTTGAAGCTAGACTTTGGTCGAGCGTCAATCGGCCGGTTCGGATCCTGCCATGCACACATGACTGGCTTCGTCGACAAATCAATTCAGAGCCATTGCATCCTTCATATACGTACACCGGCCATAGACCTGGTCCGACCCCGTAGCACCGCGTTGCTGGTACGGTCCGGCCTTAAAGATAATTGCCTACTATATGGCTTAATACCAACTTACTTGCCACGTTTTATGTTCAGTTACGTTTTACCTTGTTTTACCAGTTTCACGCAGTTTGAAAAAATGGGTGCAGCGCAGCCATGGCTCTGAGGTTAGTCACTGCTATGGCGCAGCTCACAGG